CTGCAGTAGCTGAAACTACTACTAGCAGTCAGGACTAACTATTAAACTGCATAATTTTAGTATTTGGTACTTTTACAAGATTTATTCTAATCCTAATATCTGTATTAAACTGGTTCTTATACTGATTACTTCCAAACTACCAAATTAGTTAACTCAGATAGGTTGTTATATCTAGGCTTTAAGTGTCTTTTAGTTTTATTTCCCTTAGTTTTTAATTCTATAGCATAAGATTTTTTCTTTTGATATAACTTTGGTGATCAGGTTAGTGGATCCTTCTTGCTTCAAAGTTTTTGTCTAGTTCTTTGGTTTTTAGTTTCTGGCTTTCTGTAGTATTATCAAAGATCTTTACTACCTCCTTGCTCAGGTCTTACTAAATAGATTTTAATTATTCTGGTTCCTTAGATTTAGATTGCCCAAGAGCTTCTATTTCGAAATTGTAGTATCAAGATTATAGATAATATACTCAACCAATTATCAAATAATTGTTACTAATACACAGGCTTATTTTTCTAAAAATGTCTCTGGTAGGATTCAAACTCTAAACCTGCTACTTAAGGATAACAACTTAACCACTACTCTAAGTTACTACACCCTTAAAATAAAAAATTAAATCTATATTTTTATATAATAATCATTATGTTTTTAAAAAGTATATATAAGTTATTTAGATAATTAAACCAAACAAACCAAACAAAGTAGTAATAGTTAAACTTATTTTAGTTCAGAACAACTGTTATGAAATCATTAATAAATAAAAGAACTAGTATCAGTTTGCAAATCTTTTTTTTCAAGCTTATTCTTATTACACATTATATATAGTCTCATATTTTTATACAAGTAATATTCTTGTATTGTTAATAATAAAAGTTCTATCTATTTTAAAATTCAGAAAAACTATTTTAGGATCTTTGAAGCTAAGATCTTATTAAACTTAAACACAAAACTTTTTTTTTTTTTTTTTTTTATTTTTGAATTTGCTATATACATGATAAGATTAGTTACAGATTTGTATTAAGATGATATTAATTTTAACTATCTATTATATCTTGTATAACCACCTAAGTGTAGCAAAACACCTCTTAATTTTCTATTTATGAACTAATTTAAGATTAGCTACCATTAGTTATAGAGGGGGAAAGAGAAAGCCCAGAAACACAAAACTTTCAAACTATAATATTATTAAAAAAAATTTGTATTATTGAAAAAAAGCATCATTTTTTATTACTATATTAAGCAAATCAACCAATCAGATGATGATTTTATAATAATTACTTAGAAATAAATTTGTTTATATGATTAGTATAATCTTATATACTATATATTATTTTAATTTTTAAAAATTAAATTTTTTAAAAACTTTAATTAAAGATATTTTAAAAACTATCTAAGTAATTCAATAATTTTTTTATTTTAATTTCAGAAATCTTTAGAATTAAAAAAAAAAGTTTATTAAATTTGCTTAGATAGTTGTCAAGATATCTTTACTCAAAGTTAGTAGAAATTCAAAATACCTATAATAAAAAAGCAGTAAAATTTTTTAAAAAAAGTAAGCAAAGATATCTTAACAACTACTTAAACAAATTTGATGAACTTTTTTTGTTTTAATTCTAGATTTCTAAAATTAAAAAAAAAGTTTATTAAATTTACTTGGTAGTTGCTAAAATATCTTTACTCAAAATTAGTAAAAATTCAAACTATTTATAATAAAGAAGCAAAAAAACTTTGAGCAAAGATATCTTGACAATTATTTAAACAAATTGATGAACTTTTTTTGTTTTAATTCTAGAGATTTTTAGAATTAAAAGAAAAAAAATTCATTGAATTTGTTTAGATAGTTGCTAAGATATCTTTGCTAAAAGTAGTAGAAACTCAAAACATCTATAATAAAAAAGTAGTAAAATAAACTTTAAGCAAAGATATTTTGAAAACTATATAAGTAAATTTGATTAATTATTTTTTGTTTAATTTTAGTGATTTATAGAATTAAAATAAACTAAAATTTATTAAATTTGTTTAAATAGTAGCTGAGATATCTTTGTTTAATTTTTTTTTTAAAAAACTTTTTACTGCCTTTTTATTATAGACATTTTGAATTTTTATTAATTTTAAACAAAGATATTTTGGCAACTATTCAAGCAAATTCAATGAACTTTTTTTTTTAATACTAAAAGAAATCTCTTGAATTAAATCAAAAAAAGTTCATCAAACTTGCTTAAGTGGTTGTTAAGATATCTTCATTTAAAGTTTTTTTGTTTCTTTATTATAAACTATTTAAATTTCTGCTAATTTTAAATAAAGATATCTTAGCAACTAACTAAGTAAATTTGATGATCTTTTTTTTAATTTTAAAAATCTCTAGAATTAAAATAAAAAAAGTTTATTGAATTTGTTTAAGTAGTTATTGAGATAATTTTTGCTCAATTTTTTAAAAAATTTTATGCTTTTTTATTATAGACATTTTGAATTTCTACTATCTTAAAGTAAAAATATCTTAAAAACTAACTAAGCAAATTTGATGAACTTTTTTTTTTTTAATTCTAAAGATTACTGAAATTAAAATAAAAAAATTCATTAAATTTGCTTAAATAGTTTTTAAGATATGTTTTTTTAAAGTTTTTAAAAATTTAATTTTTAAAAAATTAAAGAATAAATTTAGATATAGGCTATGGCTACATATAGCCTATACTATACTACATATAGTTTTATGATATGTAATGTAATAAGTGTAATGTATAATATAATAGCGCATATGCATATAAAAGAAAAAAATAGATGAAACGTTAGTCTTTTACTAAACCTAATATAAAGTGTATATTTATATACTCTAAAGAAATTGTTCTATATTCGGTGTGTTGAACTTTAGTTTTATACTACACTGATGATTCTTTTTTTAACAATACTGCCATAGTAAAATGCTTGTATACAAAGTGAGAAGTTGAGAGTTATACTTGCATTTCATTTGGGTGTATAGATATAAACAAATTAAGCAAGGTGAGTTATTAGAAATCCTTCAATTATATGTTATAGCAATAATATATTATTATATTACTTACTTCAGTTCTAATCATTTTAGATATTCCAGTATTCTAATCATTCTAGCCATCAAATATATAAAACAATGTGGGTTATTAGAATCCTTTGATTAAATGTTATAGCGATAATATATTATTAGATTACTTACTTTATTTCTATTAGTTTTAATCATTCCAGTATTTCAGCATTCTAGTCATTCTGGATTTCTAGTATTTCAGCATTCTAGTCATTCTAGTCATTCCAATTATTCCAACCATCAAACATATTAAGCAAGGTGGGTTATTAGAAATCCTTCAATTAAATATTATAACGACAATGTATTATTAGATTACTTACTCCAGTTTTATTAATTCCAATTATTCCAGTTCTAGTGTTTCAGTTGTTCTAATCATTAAATACATAAAAACAAGGTGGTTTATTAGAATCCTTTGATTAAATGTTATAGTGATAATATATGATTAGATTACTTCATTTTTATTAGTTTCAATTGTTCTAGTGTTTTAGTCGTTTCGGCATTTCAGTATTCTAGTCGTTCCAGCATTTTAGTGTTTCAAATTCTAGTAGTTCCAGTGTTTCAACTATCAAATGTGTTAAACAAGGTGGGTTATTAGAAATTCATCAATAAAATATTATAGCAATAATATATCATTAGATTACTTACTCTAGCTTCATTAGTTCCAGTTGTTCTAGCCATTAAATACATAAACAAGGTAGTTATTAGAAATCCTTCAATTAAATGTTACAGCAATAATATATTATTAGATTACTTACACCAATTCTATTAATTCAATTATTCCAGTTCCAGTATTTCAGTCATTCTAGCCATCAAATATATAAAACAAGATGGTTATTAGAATCCTTTAATTAAACATTATAGAAATAATATATTATTAGATTATTTACTCCAGTTCTATTAGTTCTAGTTGTTCCAGTTGTTTCATAACAAATATATAAACAAGGTAGGTTATTAGAAATCCTTCAATTAAACATTATAGTGATAATATATTATTAGATTACTTACTCCAGTTCTATTAATTTTCATTAGTCATTCCAACCATCAAACGTATTAAACAAGGTAGTTATTAGAAATCCTTCAATTAAACATTATAATAATAATATATTATTAGATTACTTACTCTAATTCTATTAATTTTCATTATTCCAGTTATTCCATCTAGGTATTAATAATGTCAAACGAAGATATATATAAAATGAGGTAATTTATTTAGTAAAGCATTGTAGTGGGCCTATTCAATTACTTGAAAGTCAAGCTTATAGTAACTTAATATAAATATATTGTAATATTATTAATAAGTTACTATATACTTGATTTTTAAGTGATTGAATAAGCTCAGTATTTAATACATTAATAATTTACACACCTTTTAATTATAATCATTGCAGAAACCCTTAATTTTTTAAAATATAATTACAAGATCATAACGTGATTGTTGTAAGATCGTCACAATATAATTAATAAGTCTCGTAAGTTTCAGTAACAATATCAACTTTACCTCATTACTATATCGTTATGATATAAAATAATTTATCGACTTTACCTCATTACTATATTGTTATAATATAAAATAATTTGTCAACTTTACCTTATTACTATATCGTTATAATATAAAATAATTTATTATTTTATTATTTTTATTAATAATACATTGTAAATTTGTTTGAGTAATTTAATATACTTTAATAATATTTTTAAAAATTCTACCGAATACTACTAAATGTATTATAATATAATTTGATATAATAGCATTTATATTTCAATGTAATACAAATGTATTTTTTAAAAAATTTTAGCAAAACATGTTTGTATTTTCAATTTATTGCAAATATAAACTAAATGAATATGCTTATAAATTTCTAATGTAAATACTAAATCTGAAGATATAATTATATAGAAATATTATACGAATATCTAAAAGTAAGTCAAAGAATATTACTTTGAAAATATGCTAAGATTTCAAGCTAGTAGTAATATCATAATTACCAATCTCATAGACAATCCGGCCACCTTTTCACGGATTCATAGTAATTACAATGAAATTCGCCAATGCAATTTAAAATTCTAATTAAAAAATATATATATTAGTTAGGATTCGATAATGCATAATAATAATAATAATAATAATAATCATACTTACCAGAACTGCTAGAACTGTTATCACTGCTGAATGTACGAATTACACCTTTACAGACAGCCCAAGAAGGTAATTTATTTATTTTGGATTCAGGTATTTCAGCAACTAGGCTAGTATAACGTTCGTCCTCTTGAGTAATACGAATATGTTCATCAGGTTGAACCTGATTCATCAACCCTTATAGCTCGATCAATTTGTTCAATAATATGGATAGCCTTAAAAATAATCAAGTTATTAATATAATCTCTGCATTTGAATTGAATCGTTAAATTGACTAGTTCTTAATAAGTAAAGTATTTGATATGAGAATTAAGACACTAAATAGTTACTGCTATACATTCGTAAAAATTAGAATCGGCAAATAGATAATTATTCAACACCAAATACGAGCCAACCAAAGTCAAATTTCAGTATCGTTTATGAATGGAAATCAATTCGAACATTACATGGTATAAATATATAAAAAAAATAATGATGCAAATTACCTCTTTTGATCTAAAAGCCATTTTCTGGAACATATAATTTTTTTCTTCTATGCTTTTTGGCTGATGTTTCAGCTTCATCTTTACTTATTTCAGGGGAAGTACAATTGATTTGAAGAATTTTGAAAATTTTTTTGTAAGGATGTGAGAAAGTAAGCTCCGATGCCTTTTCAGTTCGTGCAACTGATTTCTGAAATTATATTAATAGTAATATAATATTATCATTTTATTTATAGCGACAAAAAAAAAATATTCACTCTATGGCGGCGTTGACTACGACGAAGTGCAATAACATTTTCTTGTGCCTTACTGGGTTATTTTCTAACAAATTATATTGTTTGCACAAATAAGTAACGTATGCAACACAAATTTTTCGAATAGTTGATGCTGTTCACGTTTCTCCTTCAGCTAAAAATAAACATATATATAATATGAGTAACATAAATAAATAAATTATATATATGAATTAGCATGATAAATGAATTTCATAAATCCTATGAATCCTGTATATTACCATCATTTTACAATAGTAATATTCAAGATTTATAGGATTCACGAAATTCATTTATTGCTAATTCAAAAACAGCAATAGTAACTCTAGCAAGGTTAGATTATAGTAAATGAATTAGCTTACAAGCATTTGGATTATCCTTTAGTTCCTGCTAAAAAAACTTTATATATGCTTCAGTGACATCTCTATTATAGGGTGCTGCAGGAGTTTCATCTAAATTGTATATATAGGTACATCTGATATTCTTAGCAACACTCAATCTCCTCTCTTTTTTTCTTTTTGGCCCATTCTAAATGCTGATTAATTTTTATATGAATTCTTTCGCATAGAACTGGAAAGGATTACTTAGACTTTTTTTTGTTTCGGTTCATTAGTTGGCCTCTTCAGTGCAGTCAGTGATTTCTTCGTCAGATTCTTCAATATAGTCATCATCATCGTCATCATCAACTTCAATAGTGTTAGGTTTAGTTAAAATTTCTTTTGAACTTTTTCTGTTTATTTCACCTTTTACTTGCTCCATAATATCACCAAGAAATTCATCCACTAATCCAATTATATCATTAGCCATGGTTTCTAAGTCCTCATTGATTTTTTCACCTATCTTTTCTGCTATTCGATCGAGTTTACGATCTAGCTCAAAATTGTAATCAATTTGAGAAGCTTGAGGATTTTTGATTTTTTGTATTTGGTCTTAGATCTTATTTAATATAGTTAAAAACTTAGCGTTTTGTTTTTTTTGATTGACTTTGGACTCAATAAGCATTGTTGTTAACCCTTTAGTGATAGTTGAAAGACTTGAAGTATCTTCTGCAATGTGATTTATACGCGTGTAAATATTTGCAGTAGTGGGACAAGTTATGTCTTCAGTTTTAATCATTTTAGAAAAAAGTATAAGATCTAAGATATGGTACAACAAATGTATTTATGAAAGTAAAAGGTAAGAAGTATGAGTTAAGCGAAAGGTAAAATAGGAAAAGAAAACTATGAATTAGGCGAAAGGTAAAATAGGAAAGAAAACTATGAATTAGGCGAAATGTAAAATAAGAAAAGGAATCTATAAATCAAGCGAAAGGTGAATAGAAAACGAAACTATGAATCAAGCGAAAGGTGAATAGAAAATGAAACTATGAATTAATTGAAAGGTAAGATACGAAAAAAGCTCTGAATCAAGAGAAATAAATATATATATATGAATCATTCTTTTATACATATAATTATATAAATATAATTATATAAATATAATGATGATAAATATGATGATATAATTTATGATTAAATTACAAAGTATATAACTTATGTAAAATGTATTTTAGATCATTTTTCTAATATAATTATATTAATTAATGTAACTGTTAGATTATTTTTCAAATGTAAGTATATTAATATAATTATATTAATATAAACTAATAAAATTAATTTTATATAATTAATAAAAAAAAATATTTTTTTTGTAATAAATTTGTCAAATATTAGAACTTACAAGTAAATATAACAGATAAATTAAAACTTTACTATCGCGTGTTGGTTGACTTCTTGGACTACAATACATTTCATATATAGATAATATTTTAATTTAATTCTCGTAGTGTTGTTAAAGGTGAAGAAAATGAATTTAAAATATTTTTTTTATTAGTACTCTATAATTATTCTATAATTATTCCTTTGCAATAACAAACAAATACTTTAGGTTCATTCTGCTAATTTCTATTCTACATGAGTGCGTGAGAGTGAAAACCTGCAACCAATTATAGTAAATCATTAAATCTATTTCCAGGTTTTCAATCTTACGCACTTATATCTTTTTTTTTCGTTTAAGTTGTATAGGGCCCGAATACAGTAATACTAATAGAGATTATATTGGTTCTAATAAAAATTTTTACAAATTTTATCCAAAATCTGCAACTTTAATTGGTTGAACCTTATTTTAACTAATCAAAGTTGCAGAAAAGTAGATACTTGCATGGTTCAGGGTCCTGTTTTACAATGAACATGTATGCAAATTTTAAGTTATTTACTGCATCAATATTTACAACACAATGTTTTCTAGATCAAGATTATTTCTAAAATAGATATTAAATATTTACTATATAGTGATACATAGCAACTACTAGTATATATATATATTGTATCACAAATTGGACCAGATTTTAAGACCAAAGATAATTGCCTACGCAACTTCATCAATCCTTTGGGTAAAACCTTCCTTTATGCAGCCTTTCACTTGGTAAGCCAACTACTCTCAATTACAACTATTACGCATTTTATTCTGATTTAGCGCAAATTAAACATCTTTTTACTCTCAAATACTCGTATCATCTTTCTGGCTAACCAAGATTTGTTACTCTAAAACTAATCACTCTAATTCTGCCAGTAATTTACAAATGCCTAGTCTAATTCTGATTCCAATTTGATAAAAATATATAATTGTCCGGAGCGAAGTGGAGGACTTACATATTTATGCGCTTTGATGACTGAAATTATGATTTTGATGCATCTATAATAATAATATCTAAAACATAGTTTTGGCATTTTCTGTTTGTAATGCCCCTGAAATTTTGATCTGCGATATACATGACCAGATTTTTCAGAGGTTAGGGTGAATGCTGTTATGGGCTCCGGACTTATACCGGTTTTCGGTTCCTAGTATATTGAAAATTTAAGAAAACTATATGTATATAATCAGTATATAATTAGAAAAAAGCAATCATCATGTGATACTTGTCTTTGAAGTATACAGTATGCAAAGTTTATTTTAAAGTATGCAGAAAATATATATAGTTACATATATTTTAATTTGTAATAAGGAAAGTATAAATTGAATAATGATGATTAGTAATAGATCTTTTTCTAAACAAAGTAATAAAGACATTTCTTGCTATATATAAAGTTGATCAAGAGAAAGATATCGCCGGTAAGAAAATAAGAGGATTACTATATGATTAAAAGTTAATAATACATAATACGATGAATTTATCTGCAATTACTAAATTAAAAAATAGAAATTGACCTTAATATGAGCAGCCAACGTAATAGAATAAAACAAATCTACACTCTCTTACTTCTTCTTCATGTTCATACAAAGCCAGGCAAAAGTTATAAAAGGTCCTTGCCTATTACTTATAAATTATCAGCAAACAAATCAAATGAATTTTCAAATTTAAGCAATTCAGAAAAATCAAATGAACATTCAAATGATTTAAGCAATTCAGAATGATACTCAAATGAATCAAACGAATTAGATTAATATTTTAGTGAAAGTTTGAGAGAATCAGATATAGATTGGGTTATTAATGAAGAAGACTCTTTACATAATTGGAAGAATAATCAGGAAGAGCAATTACTTGACAATATAGATTGGGAGAATAATGAGACAGAATATTTACATGATTATATAACTTTGAACAATTTGAAGGATTAAAAAAATATTTGCAAGATAATGATAATGATTTGATGAATTCAATAATAATACAGAGCAGAATACGCAAGAATACAAACTATTTGAGAGCCAATCACAATCTTTTAAAAGATTTAATGGAAAATATGGTCTGTATTTTCCAAATTTCACATCTACTATGTTCTTTTCATAGATTACAGAGCATATAATTTCTACAGCAGCCTATGAAGACCTTGTCAAAATTCTTAAACATTCAGAATTTTGACCTGAACATGTTATTACAAATATAAGACGTTTTCACAAATAGAGAAATAGACATCTATTGCTCAAGGTTTGGAGTCATACAGTTTTAATTTCTAGACAGCATACCCCATCAAATTTAGCTTCAACCAAACCTGCATATTCAATAATGCCAGTAGATTATATTGAATATATTCTTAATAATCCAACAATTGCACCTAATTTATACTTTG